AAAAAATAAGAACCAAGATACTCATGTAAAGGTACAAGATCCCAATGATGAATGTAACTGTATTTTATACCTAAAATTTACCAATAAACTTAATGGGAAAAAAATATGTAAAATCCCTTTCACCTAACATCAATATTAAATTGCCTATAAGTTTGAAGATACTTGGCTTTTAGGAATAAGAAAAAAACATAATACTGGCTACCAGTTCAGGATAAGAAAAGATCAAATTGAGCATTTTAAAATTAAAACTACACTGAAAATGAGCTGAAGCATTTTAACACATCAATTAGAGATTACATTTTATCAAGTGATCTTCTCTGCCTTCTTCCAGGCCCATCTTGACTGAACCCCCCAGAAGTAGCATCTGTGGAGGTGCGCTGCTTGGTACTCCATTCAGGAGGGAGTTTGCTGATTGATCCCAATGGCAGGAGTTGGATCAGGCTTGTTAAGTGGGAGTCCAAGCTGAGGGCAAATGTGTAGCTTGTCACCAAGGCCACTTCCTTCATGTGCTTACTGTGCACATTCCAGAGTGGCTGATAATGAAGGCTGGCTGACTTATTTTTCCACATAGTGTGTCAAGGACTCTTCATGGAAGATGCTTTCTAGAGAGCATTAACACACAATACAAAATAAATCTCACTTTGGCTGCTCCCCACATGCCTTTGCCCCAGACATCCTAGCTTGGATCTACTAATCCTTCTCCTTAAAGGTCTAGGCTATTTGCTGCTGACTAGAAATTTGACTATATTCTTACATATATTCTTCTCCTCCACACAAACTGAATAACCAGCTGAATGACTCATGTCTCTGTCCATGGAGAAGATTTTCCCTGTCTGCTAACCTTTGAGACTACCCCTGGATATGGCTATAATGCAGTCACAGTCCATTCTAAGCCTATTCCCACATACCAAGCCAGCCCCTCCCTTACCAAGCATAGGATTTTTTTCCCTTCTCCTTCCATTGGTGACATGGGACCACTGACCTGGCCACTGCAATGAGCTAAAGAAGAAGACTGATGCAGCCACAGAGGCTAACATGAAGATCTGGGCTACTCTGCTCATCATTGCCCACACCCTCTGATCCTGCTGAGGGGTGATCCCAGAGGGACTGTTTCATCTTACAAAGAACTGCTCAGGGGTTTGTCTTGATCCTCAGTAGCTCCAACAGACAGACACAGCTTATAATAGGAAATGTCAGGTATAAGGTCACTCAGTGCCTTCTGTTTAAGTGTTACCTTTCTACCAGAGTCCAGTAACATTCCAGGAGCTGTTTCTCAAAAAGTGTGTGATTCTATGCTGCAGACAGCATAGTCTTGTTCCCGAGCCCAGGGGCTTAGTCTGTGATTCTCCTTCTGGAGCCTGCCATAGATATCACAAAGAATCTTTTCCCACAACCACCTCCACCACTTAACCTCCAGAACTGCTTGCACAGCAGCCTGAACATGCTACAGAGGCCTTTCTTGTTCCAGACCCCATTCAAAGCTGTTCACTTTCCATGTCCTTCTTCACACAGAGAAGGGAAGTTTCCCTTGGCATAATTTATGTTGTCTCGGAACCCAAGAGGGCCTCCAGACCCTGTGCTTACTTACTCAAAGCAGCAATGCAAGACATAGCAACTTGGCTTTTTACTTTGGAGAGATTATCCTGATGTGCTCTGAATATGGGGCCCCTGGAAATTTTCCTGCAAGAGAAGATCCCTGAATCTTCAGATGGCTTTTCTCTCAGCCTCTGGCATGTATGTCCTACCTCAGTCTCCAATATGCTAGTTGCCTCTTGCTCATTCTGCCCAATCAACATTTTGTAACAGATCAATGTGGTTTTCTGCATGACATCCACACAGTCCCTTTTTGGGACTATATTATGATGGATGATGGGGGTTAACATAGCTGGAGGACAAAACTGTAAGTAAGTGTTTAGCCCAGTCCATGTGAATTTGAATCCACTTTCCTGATTAAAATGGAAAGAGATAAATTCTCCAAAGCAATAGCCATATACCACATACCTGATCAGGAGGACTGTTTCATAAAATTTTCCATTCTGCAGGATCTATTCAGTTTATGCAGAGCCATATTGGAAAACTAAATAGAGCATGATAGGTACCACCACCCCTGTATTCTTTGGGCTTTTAACTGAGGCATTAATCTTTGCCATCTTCCCAGGCTTAGATACTTGTTTTTATTCACTATTTTTTATGGAACGTGGGAGACCTAAGGCTGTTTCAGTTTTAACTTGGCTTTCTCCACTGTGGCAGATCTTGACCCATAGAGAAGAAACCAAAAATATGTGTTACTCTACTTTGGCCAGGATTCCATTTCTTCATATCCCTCATAGCCCCTGCTCTAACAAAGGGATCCTGACAACACTTTAATGCTTTTTCTATCAGTATCGGCATGCATCATGTTTCCAGCAGCCCTCAAAATATGTGTGTATTTTTCTTTCCCCAGTGTACAGTTACCCTAGTAAATGATTATATGTTCCTTTGGAGATGAACTAAGGGAATCAATAGAGCATATACCTGCCATGATGTTACAAAATTCTTCTGGGACACCTAGTATTCAGTTAGTTCTAGATGAGAAAGTTGTCCTAAAATGAAGAGCTGAGAAAAGATTGTGACTTCTTATTAGGGAACCAGTCTTCAGCCTCTCAGTCATTCATCCTTAATTTCTTTTAATAGTACAAATTAAATAATGCCCATATTTGCCACTATCTATTTTGCCTCTAGGGATACTGGATTCTGTTCACCATCTCTAAAACTTTCTGAGGATTAGGTAAGCCTCACTGGCTGGCATTCAGTAATTATGATCATTGCAGTCCCAACAACAGAGAGAGACAGAAACAGAGACAGAGACAGAGACAGAGAGACAGAGAGGGGTGCTGCGAAACTTCTACAGGAAAAACTGCTACTCCCTGACCTATATTATTCCACAGTGCTATCACCCACATTGCTAATAGTGAGCCAGATTCTTTAAATGCCTCCTATACCAACAGCCCTTACCCACTGAGAACAGCCAATGACCCTGTCACTAATACATTCCTGAAGGCCTTAGAAAATGGTTTGTCCTCTATAACATCTTTTTTTTTTTTTTTTTTTTGGTACCGGGGATCGAACTCGGGTCCTTGCGCTTATGCAGCAGGCAGCGAAAGTCTATAACATCTTTAATTTATTCATTCCAGCATGCCTAAGTCTTCCCTAAGTCTTAATTTCTTCCTTTAACATCTGCCCCAGTGACTCGGGCATTTCAACTTTTCTTAGGGCTATCATTTCATCAGGCAGCATATATGCCCCATCTCCTGGCCTCCTTGCCAAGATGTCAAGTGCCGTGTCCCAAGCAAATTCTCAACATCCTTTGGCATATAATTTCCCCCTTATCAGACCCAGCATTTCTTCACCAAGGTTTCACTGGGACTTCACCTACTTATTCACCTGGCAGTCAGTAGAAGAGGTGGGGAGACTTTGAGGGGAGCCCTCATCAGCATGCCAAAAGGAACCCCCAAGTGTCTCCCTGCATGGGGAAACACCAGCTCTCAATAGGGCAAGGTGTGCTGGCCCTGCAGCTCTGAGGCTTCAGGAAGAACAGACAGACAGATTCCTGAGGAGCATACACCCAGATGTCCTCATCTTTGATTCAGGCTTCTAGCTTCCTGGTCAGGGAAAATGAATGTAAAAGACATGATGCCTTGGCTGGTGATTCTATATTGTTAGGAATCTGTGATTCTAACTATCAAGGCCTCAGCTATGTCAACTTTTCACTGCAGGAGATATGGGCTTGGCACATAGTAGGCACTATTTGTTAAATGGATGGATGGTTGGATGGATGGATCAATGAATGGATAAATGAGTGGCACTGAACAAGCAGTGGTTTGGAAAAGCATAAAGGTTACTAAAAAACACTAGTTTTATATTATTTCTAAATAAGGCATAGAGTGTGGATAAGAACACATGAAAAAATCAAGGTTCTATTTTTCTGGAAGAAAAAAGACTCATTTAGCCCTTTATTTTCTCTCTATAGTTGATAAATCATTACCATGAATTATTCACAAAATGTCTCTTCACATTGTTTCTCATGTTTTTATAAAACAAGACTGTAAATCTGATGCATAGAATATTATATTGAAATTATTTTGTACAGAATAAACTAAAAGTAAAACTCAAGGCTACATTGTTTAAGGCCACTTATAAGTTGCTTTCTTTCTATAACAAGCAGAACATTTTAAATGCCTCAAATTTATATTTGTCACTTATTGGAAATTGAAAATGTTATATATTTCAAAGTTACATTAGTAAACAAACTCATTCAGGAGAATAAATCAGTGGAAGACTATAGCTTAGTGTCATGAAAAACAGTGGGAAATAGTGACATTTAGTCTGCTCAGAATTCTATTTGAACAAAAAATCTTGTTTGGTAAATGTTTCACCATCAGAATGTTAGTCTTTAAAAATATCTCAGGCATTAATGTCACAAAGTGAATCAGGCCCAAACAGCTGAGTGAAACAACTAAATTTGAAGCCAAGACATTGCATAAAAACCCTTTGGAAACAGAGCAGCTGAAGAGAAAAAAGACAAGTTAAAATACCACAGGTGAGGAAAAGCTACCAAAACAAAATCTATTAAATGTTTCAGGTGAATAGTCAAATTACACACAAGATCTTTGCCTTTATGTTTATACTTTTTAATAAATTGTTTTTATTTTATCCTATTCTCTCCCTCAAGTCCCCTCCCCTCCCTATGTACAAAATATATTTATAATATTGAAAGCAAAGGTAATAAATACTCAAAACTCCACTTTCTGATTATACTGCAACCTACCACTCTCTCTCTGCTCTTGAGCTCTTAGCTGCTGTCTCCAGATCGTGTGATGACCTCCAGGACTCACTGCTGTGCACCACTGCCACGCCAGGATGGTGATGTCACCTTGGTAGTTTTAAATCAGCCAAGTCGGGGGTGTCCACATCAAAGAAGTTGGCAAACATTACATAACAAGCCTTTTTCTTTGTTCAGAACGCTGGTTGTTAAACATTTACCAACACACCCTGGCACCATTCTTCCCTGTCAGAAACCTTTGAGAAAGGTCTCAGTTTTCCTCAAGTAGGAACTGAAATCCTAAATACTTTGGAATCCACACCAGGTGACCAATGATGTTTAAGTTCACATCAACAAAATTTCCCATGTCCCTCCCCTCTTCCATGATTCCTGGAGCCAGCACTGCACTATGTCATCATCATAAAATGTGGAAACTTTACTCTAGTTACCAAGAACCAGTTTTGCTATGCACCTCGCCCCTATTATTGTTTTCTCTTTCTGTGTTTACTCGGGAACTGGGATAGCACTGTACAGCATAGCAAGCAAGAGGGATGGTCAGAGATGGCTCTTGTCTTGGGATGCCTAGCCCTCTGAATGAGGACACAGAACCATGGTGCCTTTCTCCCCAGCAGTAGCTTGCCCTGGAAGTTCCCAAAAGCAAGAAATGCTACAGCAGGAGGCTTTTTTTCATGATGTCCACTGAGGTCAGCCTACAGGAAAAATGCCTTGGTTTCTTTATTTGTAAAATGCTCATTTTGCCTATTTTACTATTTATCCAGTTACTACCCTGATCTCATTAGGCTAAAAAAAAGAAAACATTTGTTCACAAAGTGACATACCCACATATATTCCTAGCAGCTTCATTCGTAAGAGTCAAAAACTGAAAACGATTCAATGTCCTTCCACGGGTAAATCGATATAAATAAAACAGAATATCCAAGATACCAACAAAATAAAAATGAACTACAGATAAATTTACATGAATCTCAGAAAACTTGTGCTGAATAAAAGAAATCAAACAAAAAAATTCATCACTCTTTGATCTAGATGAAATTTTGAAAAGAGGAATCAAATTTATGATCAAAGAATACAGATATAGTTGCCAGGGTTAGGTGGTATTATGATTTATATGTAGATGTTGCTCCAAAGCCTCATGTGCTCATAAGTGGGGCTTTTGGAAAGTGATTAGATCATGGGGATGTGATACTCATCAGTGGATTAGTCCACTGATGAGTCTACGGTTAAATGTGATGTTGGAAGGAAAAGCCTGGTTAGGAGGTGGGCCAAAGGGGATGTGGCCTGGAAGGGTCTATCTCTCTCCTCTTCTTTTGATCCCCTTTGCTTTCTGCTACCATCCCATAAGCTGACTCTTTTCCGCCATGCTGTCCCTGCCTTGGAGCCAGCCAACTATGGCCTAAAACCTCTACAAACTGTGAGCCAAAATAAGCCTTTCTTCCTTTAAATTGTAGGTATTGGTTAATGTGTCCCAGCAATGAGAAAGTAACTAACACAGATGGGGACTTATTGCAAAGGAGCAAGGGGAGATTTTTGGTGATAGGTATGTTCTCAGTTATTTGTAGTGGTTACTCAAGTATATACCTCTGTCAAAGCTCATCAAACTGTAAATATAAACATTTAAAAGGATTTGTTTTACTTTTCAATTTTTTTTAAGTTTAAATGGTGACAAATTGCTATAATATTCACAAAATTCAGAAGAAGAACATGGTATCAATTAATTTGCTGATATACTTTTATAATATTTTACCCTACATATTTGGCTACTTAATCTTTGATTTGCCTCTTTACCTGACAATGAACTTGTAGTATATTTGTAAAGTAAGTAGAAAGATTATTTAACTTTTCTTATAATAAGATTAATCATTTTAAAATTCTTAATCATTTATATGGGCACTTTTACTCCATAATTAAGTACTTTTTAGTATTTAATATTGTGCTCTTGATTTTTATCTATATCTCTTTGTTTTATCTCTAGTTTTGTTCTATGCATCCTTAGCTTATCAGAATTTATCTGAAATTAACAGCTTTCATATATGTTAAGTTCCTACAACATTATATTTTTATGTATCCCTTCCTCTCTTTTTGATGTTTATTATGTATTTATGCAGGGCTTGTTTTAAATAGCCAAACATCTTTCAAAGAAATAAGGAAAATTTATATTTTTGTATCTTTATCATTTTTGTACTGTTTATAATACTCTTTACTCATTATATATCCAAATTTTCTACCATTTCTCTTAAACTGAAAATCTCTTTTACATATTATGTGACAGTTTCCTTCAGTTTCAGTTTTTCTGAAAAATGTCTTTATGTTTGAAAGATATTTTCATTGCATGTGAAATTCCAGATTAATAGGGGCTTATTTACCACTTTGAAGATGTAATTCCATTATCTTTTTATCTTACATTGCTTCTTATGAGAAGTCAGTCATAATTCTTGTCTGTGTGTACTATATCTTTTTCCCCCAATTCCATTCTAGTTTATCTTTGTTCTCATCAGTTTGACTCTGGTGTTCTGGGATTAATTTTCTTCATATCTATTCCACTTGGGGCGAGGTGACATTCACTTGCACACTCTATCATCATCGCTTCTTTGTGGATCAGTCAAGTCCCTTGGGTTTTGACTGACTCTCCTCCTCCTTGTATCCAAAGCACCCGAAAGCCTCCCCAAAGCTACAGAAGCATACCACTCACCTTTCTGTCTGGTAATCAGTTTATAGAAGCTTCCCAACACCCACCATGCTTCATGAGCCTCACAGGGAAGTGTGAGTTATGTGTTGTCTTGGTTTTTCATGCTGTTGCCATGGAAGTAAAAGTCTTTCACATCCTTTCACATCATAGCTTGAAGTGGAACTGCCTACACTCAGTATTTCCTAAGACAGTCTGGTGAAAAGAATGCGGTCTTTGGATACAGACCTGAATTCGAAACGTAGACTCTGAACTTACTAACAGAATAGTTTGGCTAGTACTAATATATAAAATACAATCTAATTGATGAACACCCTTTAGGAGGTGCCACTGAAGAATAATAAGTCTGTTAGTTTCTCCTGAATTTGGCTAGGTCACCTTGCATAGCTGGAGCTGGAGCTAGTGACTCCGCCAAACCTGAATAGCAGGTCTTGTGCTAGCTAGGAATTCAACAATTAAACTTTTCCCAGTGTTAGGTAGTCATAGTAGCAAATTGCTCACATTGTTCTTGGAAATAAAGAGTAGAGGCCCACTCAAAAAGCTAATTTCATATTGTTGATTAGAAAAAGGAAGAAGCTGCAGTTTCAAAACCTATCATTAAATACCTAATAAAACATAGGTACTTTGTGATTATTAAAATGAGTGCTTTCCAGAAAGTCATCATTTTTTTTGCAGTTATATAACATGAGTTGACAGATAATCAACTTGTTTCAGATGTAAAAAGCATGATTGCACCAATTATAGGAACTGACAACATGTAAATATACTTATGAAACATATACTTTAATTCAATAAATTGTATTGCACAGAAAGAAGAACTTAATAATCATCTGTTTTACTTCTTCTTCTGATTTTGTCCACTAAATCTGCTTAATAAAAATCTACAATCAACAGATAAACACCAAACCTCCTTCCAAGAACAGTAATCTCTGAGACTCTTAATTCCACATTATTTAGGGCAGGATTCACCTTCTCTTCAACAGTATGTTTACTGAGTATCTACTGTATGTCAAACTCTGTGTTAGAAAATGAGGGTATAGTGGTGAATAAGACTTTTATGGACTCTGAATTAGTTAGCTTTCCTGTCACTGGGACACAATACCTGATACCCACAATTTAAAAGAGGAGAGGTTTTATTTGACTCATAGTTTCAGAGGATTCAGTCCATGGTTGGCTGGTTCCAAGGTAGAAATGGCATGACAGAAGGGCATGGTGCGAGAAAGATGCTCACCCCATGGCATCCAGAAAGCAGAGAGAAAGAAAGGAAGAAGGTAGGAGCCAGGAACAAGAGTTGACAGACCCTGTGGAAACAAGGCTTCCTATGTAGCTGAAAGTATCACCAAGGGGAGAACTAACTTCTTAGTTTCAGTCTTGTTCATCTCCAGACATACTAGAATATTTGATGATCTAAATATCCTGAGTCAATTGTCTTATGAGAAATCCCCGGATTTCATTTCCATATGAACTTGGAGAACCTAACAGATCAGTGCTACTCATTGCTTGGGCCACTTAACCAGCAGCATTGGCTTATGGGAAATACAAGTCCTCAGTCCTCACCTGTATTAGTTTTCTAGAGCTTCTGTGACAAATCACCATAAACCGATAGCTTAAAACAACAGAAATTTTTTCTCTCATAATTCTGGAGGCCATAAGTCTGAAATCAAGGTGTCAGCCAAACTATGTGGCCTCCAAAGGTTTTAGGGGTAGGGAGATCATTCCTCTTCTATCTTCCTTAGCTTGTGGCTGTAAAACTCCAATGTCTGTCTTCATGTGACAGTCTCCCTGTTGTCATTTCCTCTTCTGTATTAGATTTACCATCGAGAGAAATAATCCAGGATGATCTAATCTTGACATTTTTAAATTTAATTTTATCTTCAGAGTCCATTTTTCTAAATAAGGTCATAGTCACAGATTCCAGCGATTAAAATGTGAATATAATTTTTAGAGGTTGGCATTCGACCCACTATACCATCCATTAAATCAAAATCACTGGGTATACAACCCAGAGATCTGTGGCTTAACAAATGCTTCATGTGATACTGTGATATTAAGCTTTGAGATTCATATCTTTGCTACTCAGCTGGGTTCTGTTATTGGCTCCCCCCGGTCAACCTTTTCCTGCCTATGGTCTCTGAGAGAGATTTTTGCAAAAAGCATAAAACATTTGTTCTGGATTATTGAATGATGACATATTCATATAGTCTTTGAATGAGCATATATTTGTCAGGATTATTTTCAAAAGAATTGAAGAATTAACCTTTTCCTATTCTCATGAATAAAAGAACATTTATTTAGGGCTTGATTAAAAATGTCACAATATCAGAGCAGATCACTTTGAGCACAGAGCACTTCTATGCCAAAAAATAAGGAAATCAAATGAGAATTTTCTGGAAAAACAGAATTGAACAGTATCACCTGTCAAGGATATTAAATCTCTTCAAAATTAGAAATATTCTTCCTTCAGAAAACCATTAGACATCATTCCCAGAAGTTATGATAAAAATAATGAAAACTATAAACATGAAATTTAAAAGCTTTTAATTTGGGAGAAAATAGGATAAAAGG